AAGTCGGAGACCCGGGAACCCCGAAAGCCCCCCTGTAGTGGGGGTGAGTAGGGGGCTGGAGGCCAGTGCCGGGGATGTGTTTTCCCCCGGCCAGAGCCATATCCCGGTCCCCGGGAGTACTCGGGGCCTCCCCCAGGGATGGGGGAGGAGGGCATGCCCTACCGGGGTAGCCGCGGCGGGCTGAGGGGATATTTTTTGAAATGGCTAGCTTTCAAAAACCCGGGGTAAGGGGGGGAAAACCCTCGAAGAGGAGGGCGCCGACTCTGCTCGAGACTCCGCGATTGCCCGAAGAACGAGGCACAGGCGTGAGCAGAGGAAGAGAGCGGCGAAAAGGGCCGAGGAGGGACAGGAGGAGGACGAGTTGGACTCTACGGCCCATGAGAGTCAGGGGGACCCAGAGATTCTGGGAGACCCAGAGAAGTCAAGCCAGGACCCCGATTGGCGGGGATACATGGCGGAGGCTCACCGGCGGTATGTGGCCGGCGAGAGGGGCGGTTTTGGGTTCCACTCGGTCTATAGAACGATCGAGGAGGAGCCCGACACCGACTGGGTACAGGTGGCGCTCTCGACCATGGCGCAATATGGCGTTCACATGAACGTCACTGAGCGGCGGTAGCCCGAGGCAACATTGAAATAAGTGGACAAAGACACCCGGTAGCAGCGGAGGACTAGAGACGGCACAACGATCTTCACGACGACGGCCCGATCAGCCCCGCCAGCAGACGCTAGCAGCGCAACCGGAGACGGCACCGACTCACCGCGCGGAGATCAGCTCAAACCGAGACGGCACTGACCTACCGCACGACGAGCAGCCAAGCAGTCAGCCCAGCGGACGACAACATGCAGCGTTTCATCGTAGCGTGAGTCCGCACTCATTTATGCCTAAGCGCGAACATGACCTTCGAGTCATGTCACCAATTGCGTAACGAATAGCACATTAGCCGCGAATGTCCCAGGACGGACAACCTCGTGTAACGTTGACCCCCGGTAACTCGCCGTTGCCGTTAAATACACGAGCACCGAACGCCGAAGAAACTTCCGCGATACAATACGCCGCGGACGCCTTAAGACACATACGTGACATTTCGCGCCGCGTGCTTAACCTTACCCGATCGAGTAG